AATTTAAATATATTTAAATTTTTTTTGGTGGTTACGAGGTTGGCCGAATTGACCGATCCCATTTTGAGGTAGGGCCGAGAAAATAACACATAAACTCTAAGTATTTAGTGAAAAAAAAAACGTTTGAAATGCATTTAGGAGGTTTTAGGGATTACACAGAGGAAATTTGAGACTTTTGAGATGACAAAAGTATTTTTAATTGTAACATGAAAATTACTTTGCACACGGAATATTCAAAACAAGTATTCAATAGATTTATGGACAAATCTTTATTTTATTTTATCAAAAATACTTCATTAAGAAATATGATTTTTTGTATGTGAAATACTTGTTATATCAACTGAAAGACTGCCAAATTTTGTGAGGATATACCCAATATATTGAGAGTTATAAGTATTAAATTTATATCAACTTTAAACGAGTACAAAAGTTCACGTGACTCGGTCAAATTGACTGACCCCATGTTGAGAGAGTTAATAGGTCTCAATTGAGCAGTGACAGGTCAGAGCCAGCCTGGGTGGCTGCAATACTGAATTCAAAGAGACCACTTGGGAGTGGGAAACAAGTGACCACAAGACAAGATGACCACAATACGAGTGCCCATGATAGCAGATGTTTTACAAATATAAAAGGAAATATTTGGGACAGAGCCAAAATGGCTGTAATTAAGGATTGACCGCTTTATTGTGTTGACCAGTATGTGAGTCTGGACTGTAGTTAAAAAACCTTTACTTTAATCTCCAAATATTGTCAAGAGACTGAAATTTGCTAAAAAATACAAAAACTGGACTGCTGATAATTGGAAAAGTCCAAGTTTGAAATATTTGGTTCAAAGTGTAGGTTGTAATTCCAGTGGAAGAAAGGTGAAAGATACTTACTTCAATGTATAGCACCTACCATGAAGCATGGGGAAAGCAGTGTGATGGCTTGGGGGTGAGAGAGATTTGCAAAATAGATGGAATGATGGACCAGCATAAGTACCATCAGATACTGATCCATCATGGTATACCCAGTGGTTTGTGTATTATTGGTAAAAGATTCTACTACTTAGAAGATAATGATCCCAAACACCCATCCAACCTATGCAGAAAATACTTAGCTCAGAAAAAAGCTGCTGGAGTCATTCAAATGATGCCCAAATCTCAACCCAATTGAGTAGATCTGGGATTTGATAGACCAAAAACTTGACAAATTAAAAGTTACTTCCAAAGGACACTGATTTAATATGTTGCAACAATGCCTGAAAGACTGTCTGCAATTATTAAAGCAAAAGGGGACACAAAATATTAACTGTTTGCTGAACTCAAGCACTTCCACTGAGTTTCTGTTGTACTAAATATGAAGGTTAACAAAATGTTGATGTTTCATCTGTGATTTACCTTCCATTGTTCTTTGAAAGTAGCCTTAAATCTAATTTTTGACCTTGTCCTAATACTTTTGCATAGTACTGTATATATGGATACACAGTCTTACTATGGCATATATAAACAACTAAAAGACTAACTATATGGATACACAGTCTTGGTTCTTGGAAGTATATAAACAACTAAAAGACTAACCACATGAACATACTGTCATGGTACTAGAGTGTATATAACCAACTAAAAGACTAACCACATGAACATACTGTCATGGTACTAGGGTGTATATAACCAACCAAAAGTATAACCACATGAACATACTGTCATGGTACTAGGGTGTATATAACCAACCAAGAGATTAACCACATGAATACACTGTCATGGTACTATGGTGTATATAACCAACCAAAAGTCTAACCACATGAATACACTATCATGGTAATAGGGTGTATATAACCAACCAAGAGATTAACCACATGAATACACTGTCATGGTACTAGGGTGTATATAACCAACTAAAAGACTAACCACATGAACATACTGTCATGGTACTAGGGTGTATATAACCAACCAAAAGTATAACCACATGAATACACTGTCATGGTACGAGGGTGTATATAACCAACCAAAAGTATAACCACATGAATACACTGTGATGGTTGTAATATATAGTTCTTCTACAGAGTAGGCATCAATTTTAATTCTGGATAAACTGTCTTATTGATAGGATATATACTTTTTGTACATACAAATATAAATTGTCTTGGTTGTAGGGTATATAGTTGTGAGTGATAATAAACTAGAAACCTAATTTCATTCATGAAACTTCATGGCTGTAGGATATAAATTGGTTACAGGCCATAAATTACATGCCTAGCTCCATGGATGCTATATGATCATTGTAAAATATAAACATACATGTATATACTAAACTATCTTTAATGTACAGGACAAAGGTTTTTATAATTAAATATATGTTCAAATCAATCAATAAAAAGTCTTGGCTCCAATATATATATAGCTGATTAAAACTAAACATTTGTTACACAACTTACCTCACATTTTAACCTCCGTAACACAAATGGCTTCATCATCCTCTTAGCATGATCAATGCGCTCCTGTTCAAACTTGCTTCTATTTTCTTCAGTTTTCTGAAAAATAACTTAAAATTGTAAAAACTAAACCTAGTTACTCAACCTTAAAATAAAAGCATCCATAAAGTATCAAAAACAATATACAGTATTACATTCTTATGACAAACTTGAATTTCACTGCTAAAAAGATCAACCACAAATTTCCATTTAATGTGTGTGATGATCATAAGAACAGTAAATATTAATCATCAAGACAATAATTCATAAAAATTATAATTCAACATGATATAACAATAAAAGAAATAAAATGGTATTCAGATAACCAAATTAATTTTACAAATGACTATTTAAAAACAATAAGGTAGAACTCAAAATAAAAATAAAACATACATTTTAAAGGGACATCATTAACATTACATGAAGCTATAAAACTCAATTTTATCAGATTTCATTATTAAATTATATGCATATAAATATACTTACACAAGCAGCTGAGAACATTTGTTTCACTTGATCAATTTTCCCATCAAACATATCAGGCATGACAAATATAAGTAAAGACATCAGTTCAATCAGGTTGTTTTGTAGAGGTGTTCCTGTTAACAGAAGTCTGTGCTGAGCCTTTCAAACATAAAAAATATTATTATTGTTATATTAAATATACACAAAACAGAAAATAGTATTACTCTTACTAATAAGGCTCTGTAACAGAGCAAAGATAGAAAACCTTAAATGAGACTGTTAAGTAAGTTAATACGTTTACAGATATGCTAGTGAGTCTACAAAAGTAAAAACTTAAAAGAAAAAAGTTATTCTTTAGCATTGATTGTATACATGCCCGTGGTATTCAGGTATAGTGATGTCTAAAAGAAAAACCAAATTCCAACAAACAGTCAGGTTCTGGACTGCTAAGCAAAGAATAACTGGGATTGACTGGTCAAGCAGTTAATTTGAGCCATAATGATTAGGAGGTTGCTGGAATTTCAAACAACTATCAGAATAGACAGACTACTACTCTTCTTGCACACCCTCTCACAAAAAGCCAATGGTATACTACCAGCGTCTTCTTCCTTATCATCTAAAATGAGGATATACAACTCCTCCGATTCCTGGAGTAACCGGTTTTCAATAGATTCATTAGTAATGTACAGTCTCAGCTTTTCACCAGGCTTTTACTTTTGTTCTACTACTGTTTTATCATAGTATCTCTTTACCCATCTGATGACATGCAAATCTTGGGTGTTGGCTGTTGCAGAATGCAGCCAAGCCACATATTCCTGTGGACATTGGAGTTTCTCTATAATGGAGTGAGGGCCATACACCAGATATACTGGGAGCTGTAGTTCTCATCTAAACATTTAGAAGGACTGGAGAACAACCACATTACTACTGCTTAGTTGTGTGGTAAGTAGGTGCTCATTCCAATCAATACTTAAGGGTTAACAAACTTAACAAGCATATGCTTTACAGTCTAAAATGTAAACTGCCCTTTCAGCCAAATCCTATGGTGAAGTGTGCCTCTTCACCACTCCAAACACAACTGTGCAAACAACTGACTGTTGAAGATAGTTCCTTGATCCACATGGGTTTCTATAGGTACACTAAAGTATGAAATACATTGTTCAGCCAACACATCTGTGATGGACTGCATTAAAATATCAGCCAATGGATAAGCTTCCGCTCTTACTTGATGAAGTAATTGATAATGACCAGCACATACTGATTCATCTCTTTCAGTTTCAGGCTGAAGTGCAGCTATGTCCAAGAGGAGTATCTCTAAAGAGGAACCTATCACTCTTTATTGGAATTTTCCTTGACACAGCTAGTTTTTCTTCTGGGAGGAACACTAAATACAATGTTTATGCCATCACTTTACAGCTTAATGTGAATGTGACCTGAAGAAACTGGTGATAATTTGTGATGCACCCTGGTGCCCTCCAATTTTTGCATTATGTGAGGCCTGAAGAATTTCCTGCTTTAGAGCTCTGGAGTCCATTAAATGCATCACAAGTTGGATAATGTGTCTCAGTGGTTCATAATGATGATACAATAAGCCATCCTATACTTGTAACCGACTAAAAGTGCTCTTCAGTACTATGTTTGCTAGTTTGTGATGGCAAGTAGAGTTCAAGCTTTTGCTCTCCCACTTCCTTAGATAAAAACAGATGCTTTCAAATTCGATGACGAGGAACCCACTTAGAGACTAATAATGGCTGGAGACGGCTTGAATGGGTAATGAAGAAAACTTTAATATAACAGCAAATGTACAACGTTT